TTTAGACGGTCACAATGCAAACAGAAAAAAATAACGTTCTAACGAATTTGACATAGTTGATCCATAAATAGTATAATAAACATTAAATACATTCCATATATTCGTATCGGGCGTATTTACGCTGTCAGACACAATTTTTTTTCAATGAATGTTGAGAGAAAAAACTCGTGACGTAACGAAATGGCGGAAAGGAAAACAATCGCTGTCAAGTGTTTCATTTCGAGTTAAAGCATTTAAAAAACTTAACCCGCGGTCATGAAAGTAGCTGAACTTGTACAAAAGTAATATATGTACGTATATTTTGGGGTTGTGAGAGGGATAATTGTGAAACAACCCGAAATCGGGACTTTGATTGTCGTCAACTGGTGCATGGCTGTAGCTTTTTTTCTTTCTCTGCCATTTGACAGTCAATCGTTCATTATCGAATGGATCAGAGTTTTTACTGTCATTATAGACACTTTTGTGAGGCTGTGGTGTTACAGGCCTTGCGGTCATAAAACTTTCGAGCACGATTTTCGTACTCAGACTCGGAAATCAACCAATCAAAATCCTGGATTTGGTGTTTCGAGCACAAATTTTGTACTCCGAGTACTGACTAAAGTTTGATGACCGAGAGCCCTGGTTTTACTTCTTTTCATCGAAAAGCAACTTAATCGTCTGAAAGTCGAGAAAACGAATGTCAACTTTCAATAAAAATAGAATCGGATATTGACAAAATTGACAGCTGAGTCTAAAAATAGTTTGGATAATAAGAACACGTGTTGTTGCATCTCAGTTTGCTATTATTTAACAGAAAAGGGGTTTTGAAAGATTAGACAATTTCTTCAATTTTATTCATATTTTGATCGAGTATAGATAATATTCCATGATTTATTTTATCTAACAGATGTTTTTAAAAGTTTTTATTTTAGGTGAGCATACAAAAATTTAAGTTGTTTGGTAAAACAAATTCAGTTGGCAGCAAAAAAGAATTTGAATGAGGACAAGATGATTTGTTTTTATAGAACAAATTGTTTTTATTCTCATTTTGTTGAGAGAAAAAATTGTTTAAGAATGGAAGTGAAAAAAAAATACATTTGTTTCAGAAGGGAAGGGGAAAAATTATTTGTTTCAGAAGGGAAGTGATTTTTTTTATTATCTGAAAAATTGGAAAATTATAAAGGAAAACTCATCCCCTTCAAGTTGCACACAAACATAAAAGATGAATGGCTGGTGCCTAAAGTTATATAAATATTCCAATTTTTTAAAAACTTTAGATATCCTATTTTGCAAATGTAAGCATTTAAAAAAAATTCTATCAATATCAGTAGACTAGCATCATGGTTGCAGCTATTTATATTGGCGTTGATGTTGTACAAACTGGTTTTAAAGAGAGTGCACATTTTCTTTGGCAAGAGGTTTTGGGGTCTACTGAGTGTTCTGGACATAATACATGCATTTGATATGCAAATATTGCAACATTTTTCACTTGGTTTATCCTTATTAACAATCATTTTTTGACACTGGAAAAACAACTCTTTTGGAAAAAAAAATAGAAGACTTAAAGACCAAACAGCCTATTCAGTTCTACCAGTGATTTTTCCTTAAAATTTTGTGTGAAGGTATTTCATGATTTGAGGAACAAAATATGACAAAAAAATTTGGGGGTCTCCGACTTAGTTTTGTCACTATAGCAACCTCAGTTTCGTGTTTTCCCGAATATTAACATGATATTTGCTTGTTATTTAAACTCTCAAAAAATCCCATTATATCAAACCTACAAGCATAATTCTTTTTCATGTTAAACAGCAGATTTGTGTCTATCAAATACAGGTTCAAGAGTTGAAGACTCTTATTGTTTTGATCTTAAAAAATATGATTTATTTCATTCCCGCCAAAAATAAAACGCAAGAATGAAAAACGTTTCAAGTATTAAAAAATATCTACCAGTGAATTTTTCATAAAAATTTCAAGAAGGAAAGTGACATGTGTACTCTTCAAAATAAAGCAAAAAAATGTATATGTCACCGACCTTTCAAAAAAGTTATGATTAATTTTCATGTTTTTTTCTCGTTCGCTTTGAAGAAAAGAGTTGTCTTTCTTCAGAACATTGAATCTGACGTCATAGTACAAGTTTTCCTTGCTGGCGTACTGTTTGAAAAAAATTGCAAATTGGACGTTTGAAACCCACATTTAAATTTTCAACAATCAAGAATAACAACTATATTCACCTACTTTATTATCTTTATATCATTATGTGTCCCGACTAAGACGAGCGTAAACAAATTATTCCATCAAGTTTGTGGATTCATTATTTCTGAATATTTGAAATATAAGAAAATTAGAATTATAGGTATAATATATGAATTAAAGTTTTTGATTTTAAAACGTTATACATCCATTTATCATAAAATACGATCCCCGTTATTACTACTTCACGTGTTTTGAATAAACGAGACAGTAAATATAAAATACAAATAAGTTTTTAATTCAAAAATTGATTTAGAATCTAAGAAATAATTTTCCATTGAAAACTATAAAGTATTTCTCAAAACTGGATGAAATATTATGAATCTAAATAGCTCATTTTGGAAATTAAAACAAAGACAAGGTTGTATGTATAGATTGCCGGCATTGAAAATTAAATTTGTTTTCAATCTTTCCGGTCATTGTAGCTTTTTGAAAGTGAGAAATTTCATGTTGGATCTTATTCTTGAAGCAATTGTTTTTGTCATAAGTTAAATTTACAACAAGTTTAGTTTTAAAAACCGTAATTTTTTATTTTAATTCACATTCACTGAGTATATTATTTTCTTATATTTTTTGCCTTAAGCTTCTGTGAGATCAGGCGAAATCTTTATCATTTCTCCTTGAGACAATTTGAAATGAAACAAATGACAAAAGACAATGAACCTTTATCATTTTTATTTTACTATAAGATTTTTGTCAATTAAGCAGTATAGATAAAATTTAACTTCATTGCAAGATCACCATTATTTTACGAGAATCTTAAAGAAATAAGTTAATCTCAACATGCATACGTTGCCAGTATATCGAAACTTCTAGAAAGTATTGTTTATTGGCCTAACCTTCTGAAAACTCAGTTTTGAAAATCACATATTAAGTTAAAATTCTAAGCGTAAGTCATATAAATTTACCGTTGTAAAGTTACACGGGCGTACGAGATTTGCGCCGATTAAAAAAAAATCGATCTTTAATTTGCGCCGATTTGATTCTTTCATTAGCGCCTATTTTTTTTATCACTTGCCCCGATACTGTATTTGCTATACGAGTAAATACATGTACATGTAGTTAACCTAGAATGTATATTACATGGTAATATATAGATATAAATAGTGTTCCCTTTTGTTTAAGATAATTTTGGTCATATTGTTCGAGAACTTCGTTTTGACACGAGAAAGAAAAGATGGACTTCGTTATTGGCAAGTACAAGTATAGAAAAGATAAAATGACAAGAAAGGAATATATCAGATGTGTGGCATATAAATTCTCGGCAAGATAATAACTCATTATACTAGTATTACATTTTTATGGATTTTATTGTGGTGCTTTAAGGTGGTACCTAACACTACAGGGAGATAACTCTGTAAAAATCAGCTAAACGTTTTAATTACGTTGTATTGTTAAGGAAATATTAAGCTTCTCAATGATCAAAATTAGTGTTTGTCAAACTGCTATATAACCAACGAAATTTTTCTGATAAAGTGGTTGGTTCAAATTCTTTGAAATTTTTATATTTTTGTCAAAGGGTCAAAGTAAACATTATGTCAAAATTTTATGAAAATTAAACGAGCCAAATTAATTTTAGTCAAGGTGTTGGGTACCACCTTAAAATGCTGTAAATAGAATTTTACTCCGTGATTTTAGTGAATGTAAACAGAGTGCACAAATATCTTTTAAATTGACTTATCCTGCTCGAAATTCTACTCCCATCTCCCCTTTGTGAGCAGGGGACAACAGTTATATAATTGACAATTCATAACATATGTATAACTGGCTAACAGAAGAGGTCTATATGATAAATAAAAAAATACCTTTCACCTATAATTTACCTGTACACAATCGGTGCAAATGAAAGACAAAATCGGCGCTTAAGCGTACATCATGTTGGAGTCCGTGAAAAACGCGTAATAGGACGTTATAATTTGACGTTTTTTTATCATGGCTAGAAACAACGTCATAGAGCTTTTATGTCACTACCAAGTTGCGTTGGTTGATGCGCATCAACAATAGGCTGTTTGGTCTTTAAGAGCTTGTCTCACAGAAAACCATGCAAAATTTGCAAAATCGTCCTTCGGGGTGGTTAAAACTTTTCCAGCTAATGACATTTTTTTAGATGTCATGTTCAATGGAAACCAGAAAATATATTCTAGACTTCTCTGAATTGTGTCTATTTTTAGTAACAAGCTAATTTGCATAATTGAATAAAATAAGCTAAAAATTCCTTCAAATATATGTTTAGTTGAAAGTACTTTAAAAGTCACCATATTAGTTCTATTGGGTTTCTAGCGATTTATATTGTGGAAGTATATATAAAAGATCATAAATTATGCATTTATAAATGATTTTCTTTTTTTCGCACACTTAAAGGGTGCTCTCTTAAAAGCCTTATTTTGTATATGTCATTTACAAGCAAAGTTCAAGTCACTGCTTTTCAAAAAGGTGAGCACATTAATACATGAAATAAATTTCTTTACACACATTTTTATTAGATTAAAAAAATATAAAAAAATCCACTCATGGCAAATTAGTAGAAATAGCCTTATTTCTTACTTTAAAACCCCACCTCAAGCCTTTTCCCATATTTTTTTCTAAAACCAATTTTGGGTATATATCAAACAAAATATGAGGTTACTATCATTTTAAATGTTCAATTTTGAACATTTCAAAGATTTTATTCAGGTAAAATACTTTGCAAAAGTATAACATCTGAATAAATAAGATTTTGTAACTTTCACTAAAAAATTGTTATCAAGAGTTATCTCCCTTTAAATTGTTTTCCACAAGACTGTAAAGAAGGTATACGTAACTGTTCAGGTTACAAGGAAGTAATTATTTACATAGGCGACAATGGTAGCCTTTTTTGGTCCTGCGTTTTCACTATCAAAGATCCATAGAAAAAAATGTCGAATTCTGAATTATCAACACCTTTGGGTGTAATTGAAACTGCAAAACACATATGGTGCCGCAGCTTTTTTGATAGAAAAATTGCATTTTTTAAGGGTACTCAACGGTTCCGGAATTTTCGAAATAGTATAAACGAAGAACACCCCTTGCTAAATTTGGCAGAGAAAATGTTGCTCGTCACAGAGAGTTTTCTCTAAATTTCTCGCTATTTCTACACCAATGGCCAACACTCATTTCTCACTATTTCAATTTTGATTTCTAATTGCAAGGGCAGCAGAAAATAAATTTACTTCTACCTATTATCTTGGATGTAAAATCTAGGTGGCGCCAGTCATCTTTATTTACTTCCTTTTAACCTATACTGACATATATTGAAATAAAATCGGACAATCTTTACATTAGTCGATTACTATATACTCCTGCTGCTAAAGTTCAAATTTTTGGATTAAAGGTACAATTTTTCACCTTTAAAAATGACTTTCTTTACAGGTACCCCCTTTGCAGAAAACGTTGCTTTTTACAGACTTGGGGCCATTGACCAGCTTATTTTGACTGTTTGGCTATGTTTAAAACGAGGTGTTTGATTAATGAAGTTCGATTTAGGCTTATTAAAGACTTTAGGCTGATGATTTGATAACTGTGTCCAACTTATATGTCTTTATCACGAATATATGAACACCGTTGCATAACAGTCAAAATATTTTATGAAATAGACTATAAAAGTGCTGAAACTAAGAATTTATCATTGCTGTTATGTGTTTTATATGAATCGTGTGCAGAATATTCAATTCGACGATACTAAGGAGAAACATGTATTGCCTTTAGATTTTTTACCTAATTTTAATATTTTAGGGGCATTTTGGCACATTTTGGCCATTAAAAATACAAAAATTTCGCTAACGTCAGCAAAAATAAGCCCCCCTTTTTTTAAATATGCATAAATACATGCAGTTTTATCGAGGATGAGGAGAAATGATTAAAGACAGAGTCATTGACAGAAGTCTCGTTCTTACAGTAGGTTAATGAACCCTACCCCTTAGGCAGAAGAATAAAAAAACAGTAAAAATTTGATATAGACTTTAGTTTCTTTGCGATCAGCAATTTTCTTCTGATACAGTTTATCACTTAGTACCTTATTAATTTACCGATCCAATTTCTAAAATATCTCGAAAAATACAGTGATGCGCCAGAAATCGTTATTTCGCTTTAGGTTACAAGGAAGTAATTATTTACATAGGCGACAATGGTAGCCTTTTTTGGTCCTGCGTTTTCACTATCAAAGATCCATAGAAAAAAATGTCGAATTCTGAATTATCAACACCTTTGGGTGTAATTGAAACTGCAAAACACATATGGTGCCGCAGCTTTTTTGATAGAAAAATTGCATTTTTTAAGGGTACTCAACAGTTCCGGAATTTTCGAAATAGTATAAACGAAGAACACCCCTTGCTAAATTTGGCAGAGAAAATGTTGCTCGTCACAGAGAGTTTTCTCTAAATTTCTCGCTATTTCTACACCAATGGCCAACACTCATTTCTCACTATTTCAATTTTGATTTCTAATTGCAAGGGCAGCAGAAAATAAATTTACTTCTACCTATTATCTTGGATGTAAAATCTAGGTGGCGCCAGTCATCTTTATTTACTTCCTTTTAACCTATAGATGCAGACTTCCTTGTCCCTGACACTTGCAACTAAGCCTTCTTGTTTTTAGTAGGACCTTACCTAAGCTCTTTGAGTGGCATAAAGATACATCACACTTTGTATTGATGTCAATTTTGCAATATGAAGAGAAAGTTCTTGAGCATTTCCAAGTTTTCTCACATTTTGTCAGCTCAGTGCTTCTGCACAAATACTTCCTGTCAATGAGTGTCGGATATTACAGAAACGTAGAGTTCACACAGAGAGATTATGTTGAGGAGAAGTGAAGATGGAATAAAGTTTGCTGTTGCTATTATTACCACAACCAACGTCAAGTTTATAGCAGGTCTTGGACTTCCGTACATGAAACTGAACAGACACATACAGTACAGCCTGCTACAGGGGATTCACACGGCATTGGATATAAATGTAAATATAACAAATGAACCATTGTCTGCATGTCTAACATTAAGGTAGATGGGGTGTCTAAATTATAATCCATAAATTTTTTTAATAATTTGCCAAAATGTAGTTTATATCATGCTTTTTAAAAAAAAAATAATAAAAAGAATGGGTCACGGGCCTTATTTTCACGCTACAGGTTGTGCAAAATTGACAGATTTTGTATAGATTATGCATGGAAAACCCAATTTTCTGCCATAAAATGAAAACTACACCATAGAATTTTGAGATAAAATATGAGAAGATAGGTCTAATAGTATGCTTTCAGATAAGAAAAAGAAAAAATGGGGTCACCGGACCCGTTTTCTTGCTACATAATAAAATAGGTAAATTCCTAACACATTCTATTGTAAAAGTAACATTATGTGAATTATCTGCCCTTACATTTGAGTTGCCTCCCCTTATGTGGCAAAGTTGGACAAAATAGAATCAACAAAAGTATTCTGTTTTTTTTGTAAAATACCACCATAAATATGATAAAATATGTCATTTTCTATATTGAAATGAATATTCTTACACATGAATTACCACCTACTCTCAAAATTTGCACCTTTTATTAAAAATCTAGACCGACTGTTTTCTGGTATTTCAAAATCCAAGATGGAGGAAGACACCCTATCTACCTTAAGAAGGGTCTGATAATACACAACCGTAGCCAGGGGGATTCGAGAGGTTTGTACGACCCCCCCCCCCCCCCATTGAAAACAAATAAGCACTGTTAAGTCGACATTCTGTTTGAATTGTACCTGTTAAAGTTGAGTATGATTGTATCGCGAGTCAATATAACCCCCCCCCCCCCCCCCCCCCCCTCATGAAATTCCTGGCTGCGGGCCTGTGATACAATTTCTATAGTTTAAATGAAATTTAACCTCAGCTGTAATCTGTTAACAGTTTAGGATACCAAGTCCAGAGTCTCTTAGGAGCCCAATTAAGAAAATCACTCCGGGGGGGGGGGGGGGGTATTTCCCGAGTAACAGTCACCAGGGACAGTCTTTACTTTGTTAGTATAGAAAGCCCCTGCAGTCACTAGACATTTTTGTGTCAAATACATATACCATCATGTATGTACATAAATATTAATGTCATGAATGTAATTTTGGCAAGATATATCATGTATTTACATGTATATCCAATAGACAATACTTTTTTATATGCCCGTTTATGTCACTTATTATGGTATAACTTTGTCTGTCTGTCTGTAAGTCCATCCGTCTGTCCGTCCTTCTGATATGACATTTAGAAGTTATTGAGCTTTATATTTTAAAACAGGCGCTCATCGCGCTCATGGCGCAGCTGTTCATTTGTCTCTCACATTGCAAACATACATGACACATGTACCAAAACCCAATATTAGGCATTACATTTCAGTATAACTTTCAATCAAAAATGTTTTAAGACTTTTTGTGAAAAGGGCTCAAGTTTTTTTTAATTAAATACATAAAATAAATAAAAGAAGAGTATGTGGGGGTATAAAAGTCAGCAACCCAATGACAAAAGCTTCCCAAATCAAACACATTGGTGATATATCATTCGTATGTTTTATCAACATGCAGATTACAATGACAGTTGAAGTCAATGTATCATCTATGTCAAGCTCTTAATTGTTTCTTATTTTTCGTATGAAAACTGGGAATAAATTTAACAGAAACAGTCAAAGTGTTTGTCGTTGGTTCTTGTCTGTCATATTGGTTTTTCGTAAATTGTTATGTTATAAAAATATGCTGTTTTCTCAGTTGACATTCTTCATGTCGAGGACTTATAACCAGCTATTCTGTATGAGTATGGGTTTTTCTCATTGATGAAGGCCAAATGGTTGCCTAGTATTGCTTACATGCACTTCATTTGAACTTTGGTGGATAGTTGTCTCAATCATATCCGCAATCATACCACATCTCCATATTATTTTTATAAAGATCTGCTTATTTTCAATTTACACTTTTTGTTAAAAAAAAATATCCATCATTATTTAAAACTTAATAATTTTTCTCCTTAACTGAGATTTACTTTAGGTATGAGACCTTGATGTTTGGTACATTTGTAATAATTACTCTCTCTATCACTTAATATTGGATTTTTGCTTGAAGATTTTGATTTGATAATTGGTATATAGTGTAATCATGACAAGTTAGAGATCAAGTTAGAATTTTGTTATGATCTGATGATATTGTGTAGAGTTATGGTCCTTGGACTTAGAAAATTCATCCAGATAATCAGTTTTCCACCTTTTTTTTATAGTTGGTACATGTACATGTATGTAGTTTTATAATGACAGGTTATAGACCAAGTACAAATTTTGTTCTGGTCTTATTCACTCAAATAATCAGTTTCCACACCTTTTTTTTATCATGCTTGTAGATATTGACTTGATATTTATTACAATACAACATGCCTAGTTATAGGTTAAGTACAGCATTTTGTTCCAGTAAAATGAAATTCTAACCGGTAGGGGACTATGTATTGCCATGCATGATGCTATACTCTGTCACTCTCATAATTTTTGTCATGATTGAAATTCATTATATAAGAATTTGTAAGAATGAGTAAAAGATTGTGGAAAAGTAAGTTCAAATTTAAATTAACCAATTCTGTTTACATTATAAAGTTAACTATGCAGGCGAAATAGAAATTGTTAACAGGAAAACTTTGAAAAGGCATACATGTATTTTTAAGGTTAGGATTTGGAAATCTATTTTAAGGTATGTTAATACATACATGTACATGTATAATTACATCAGTTTTTTTTCACACCTCATGTACATGAATAAATGGAAATGTGGATTAAATGTCAATGGGACAGCAACCCAACATTATTCCCGATTGTATTAAAATTGTTTTAATTATATATAAGATGTTGTTTCTTTGTGTCAAAATTTAGTTTCTGTTCAAAAGGGTTATATTTGTATATCTAACAATGTATTTTTTTTATGTTTCAGGTCGTCCATGCTTTTAAGTGAGCACATACTTCCGAAGCTATTCATTGCTAGAGCAGTATAACCCATATGTACAATGTACAAGAAAACAAGCCACCGACGAATGAAAATTCAGCGGTCAAAGCTACTCACTGTTTAGCATGATGCTCATGTTAATTTTTTTCTGTTCATGTCCTGATCTGCATAAATCATGATAGAAGTTGTGGAGAAACTATCTTATACTTGAAAAAAAATGTACAAAATGTATGAAATGGGTAGAAATTAAAGTACATGTATGATGTACATGTTTAATAGGACAAGATTGAATTTGAAGGCTTCAAAGTGCAAATATTCATGTGTGGATATGGTTGAAATATTGTACTTTACAGTTACATAAGATACTGAATAAAATGTCAACAGATATTCAAAAAATGGAGTTGGAAAGGCTACATCGCAGTAAGATAAAAGTATTAATACTCATTCTCTGTAACCACTTAAACTTTTTCGGCACACATAGTCACCGATCTTTCTGAAAATTGGCTGATATGTAGATCCTATTAGACTAGTCAGAAAAATAATGTCAACCGATATATATATTGGTTGGTTACCATGGTAACAGCAGAGAAAGTTGGGATTTTTGAGAAAAATACAATATTTGGTGTAGTGTTGTGAAATCATGCGGCTACATCTATTAAAAAGAAACACAAAAACAATTAATTTCATTCTTGATTTAGTCAAAATTCAAAAAAAGTTATGGGGAATCTACCTAGAAACATGCGAAATTAATTTCTAAAAAATGATCATTGTGCAATTTTCCTCACAATACGAATTATCTCCCTTTGATGTGTTACACTTATGACTGGACCAAAACGAAAACGCTAATAACTTTTTTTATTTCTCAAAGGATTTATGTCAAATTTGAATTGTTATAAATTTAGACCATTCAATACATAAATATAAGAAAAAAAATATAGAAAACTTTTTTAAATCTTTATTAAACGTGACCTGGCCAATGTTGACAATGCCAGGACCAAATGAAAATGCTAATAACTTTTTTATTTCTTAAAGGGTTTATGTTAAATTTGAAATATAATAAAGTTTAATCATTTAATATATAATTTAATAAAAAAATATAGAAAAAAATATAAAATATTCAGATAACGTGACCTTTCTAACGTTGACAATAACCTGACCAACAATAGCAATGACCTGACCGATGAAAATTTCTGTGTTATTTTATATTATTAAAAAAAAACAGGAAAAATATATGTTTTTGGTAAAAAAAACTTGACCTGACCAACGTTGACTGTGTCCTGGTCGTTGTACTACTTAATACTTATTTATATCTTATTGGATTTTCTTTAAATTTATAAAAAAAAAATAGAATTAGGATTGAATGGTAAAAAACTGGGAAAAACAGTTTAGGGTACTATGACGAGCACCGAATTATTTAAACGTTTTATGGTATTGAGTAGTATATTGTATTTAACTGTGTTGTAAATTATGTTGTATTTTACCGGTTATAATTTGACACGTTAGATCACAAATATAAAGTAACTCAAAAGGTGTGTTTGAAGTAGGCCATACATACATGTAAGTTAATAAATCCAATATAGTTTGTTTTTTAATATTTTCTAACAGTAAATAGTTATTTTCACGTACTACTTAAGGCATGCGCGAGCCTTGTGCAGGATATCTTGGCAGTTTTTAATATTTTCATAAAAACAAATACACATTTCGCAGACTACTTGAGGTATGCCCGAGCCCCTGCATGCACGATATCTTTGTAGTTTAAAATATTTTCATAAAATATAAGTAAACATATTCGCGGACTTAACTTGAGGGTTACCAGAGCCTTGTCTTGTTTTAAATGTTCCCGAAAGTTTTAAAGCATTTTATATTTTCTTATTTGATAAAAATTAATGGTTCAGTCTAAGTGTTTCTATAAATTTGATGCAAAGCCTATTACATTTAGATAGGTATAAAGTCATTTTTCCTGGTCATGATAACGGTCAGAATGTAGGACAGAAAGTCACAGACAAAAAGTCACAGACAAAAAGTCCAGACAAAAAGTCGCGGACAAAAAGTCACATGTATAATATGTTATAAACATTGACTTCTGCTTCAAAGTAAAATCTATTTTTTTTTTGTTTAAAGAAAGACAATTATATACTAATTTTGAGAAACATCTTTCTGTAATGGGCTTTCAGTGGACATCAAAGTAAATGTACATGCATATAATTCTTTTAAAGTTACCCTGTGTAAAGAGTTATCATATTGATAAATATTTTTTAATTTGCTGCTAAAAATCTATTAAGATTACTGTTATTTTCTCAAATTTCAATAATCCAATGCCTTTTACTAATGTAAATATAGTGCTACCAAAGGCGGATCCAGGGGGCCATGAGGGCCCGCCCCCTCCTTTCATTGGAAACATTTGGTTGATTACATATGGAATCACTGAAGTATGAATGTAGCGGGCATCTCTTAAGGCAGTCAGTGGTACCCCTGATATGACAATTGTCTAGATGATATATTTTCCACCTGCTGCTCGTTGTAAGACCAGCAGTTATCCGCTGACCGATTTTTCGTGGGTCCTCTTAGGGAAACGGAACTTTTTGGAAAATCTCGAAAATTCCTCCCCGGCCAGAATGTCAGACAAGAAATGTGTCGGATGAATAGCAGGGACCATCAGGTCAACGGCCGACCGTACCCGCCCTTGCTTGTTACGCCCTTTTTTAGGGGCTCCCTAGTTGATCTATTGAAATGTCTGTCCTTGTCCAATTGATCCCGATTTCTAGTGATATTTCAAATTGTCTGCCTTCATCCCAGCCTTCACCTATTGAAGGACCTTTTTGATTTTTTTGATTTTTTATAACTTTTATAAAAATGATCTTCATGTAGTGCTCATCATCCAATAAAACAATATTATTCAAAACGTATAGCTACATGTATACATGCTTTGCCATTTCAACATTGAGTTTAAGAATGAATAAGAAAAATAAACAGCTCATAATAAAGGTATTTTTTTCTTTATAGAAATGTTAGATGGTCAATTATCATTTATTTAGAGGATCAACGTCTGACTCTTTTGGTTCTATTTTTTATTGTGTTGAATTGTTTCAAATTATTGACTTCAATTAATTTTTGGTCAGTAGACTAGCACAGGACCTACAATGTTTCTAGATTTAGTCATTGTTTTTCTTGTACACTTTTCATGATCATGAAAACAGACTGAAATTTCTTCATAATCAGCACTTTTATCCAGATTAGAGAAATTGTATTTGTTTCATTCAAGTAGTAACACCATTATCGATATACTATACCAGCAAAATTATTTATATATACACATGTGTGTATACAGTGAAACTTAATAAGTGTTTTCGTTTTCCTACTTTTGTGCACATTTAAGAAACTAACTGAAACTTTTTCAAAATTGTTTTGAACTTGTGTATCATCATGAAATTGTTTCCATAGCAACACAGTTAAAACTATAATACCATTATGTATGAATATGTTTCAAATTTTGATGATAACAATCATTTCTACAAATTGTATATTTATTTATTTTTTTCTGAATGCAGAATTAGGTTTTAAAACATTTTTTTTCAAAAATTTTCAAATTTTTTTTTTCTGAAAAAATGAAAACTAAGCATTTTGTATCCATGGTAACAAAAAAATGAGACATACTTCCCCATTACTTTTTCGCATCATTGATAAGATAAGACTATGGTATTTATGAATTGATGGTTGACTTTAACTCAGGTGTCCGCAAAAAAATATGGTGAGCATTCAAAAATGACCTCAAAAGGGTATTTTTTACCTAATGCAAACCACATAAAAAGGGGGGTATATGTGATTATGATTGAAAATGAATATGAAAATATCAGTTATTAAATTACATTAATAAAATGCATATATTTAATAAAATCATAAAAAAAAATTCTTTCTTTTAATCATTAATTATGAAAAATTATGTTGAAAATAGCCATTTTCAGCTTAAAATCATAGATATCCAGAAGAGGTTAAACTGGTCCTCGGTTGCTATGGCAACCGATATCCTTAGCAACCAAAATTTTGCCATTTTTTGTTTGTTTCATCAAGACTAGTAAGTGTGTGAAGTTTGAAGAAAATCCATGACCATGCGTGCCACACTCCCTATATAAAAGTTTAAATAGTTACAGAGAACCAGTATTAAGATTCACACTGCAAGTCAAAAACTACTTATACATGTATCTGGCAAGCTTGTGTAGAACTGGAAAAATTCCATATTGTATGTAATAGTCAGAATGAAGCTCCAAATTACATGAACTACAATAGTTGCCTAAGTTGGATACTTTGATAAAAAGGAAACCGAATAACAACTGATCAAACTAACAGAATCAATGTATACTTTCTGTAAGAAAAATCAGAGTGACAATTCATCGAATAGTACAAGGACAATGATATGGCTACTTTTGCTGTAAACTGAAAGTAAATCAGTCTTTGCCAAGTCAGCTGGTATCAATACTTTTTTGAACTATAAATTATATAATCATGATATTGATTTGAATGTCATTATGGGCAATTAAAAAGAAATGTAAAGGATTCAGGGTCTTATTGTTTAAAAACAAACAAAGAAAGCTAAAATTTTGTTTAATTTACCCTGAAAAAAAAAATTATGGTGGTTTTTTTTTGTTAAAAATTTACAACAAATTATTCTGTCATCAACTTTTCAAACCTGACCTAACCAAGCTCTTTTCATTTTGACTAATGTTGGGATTTGTGTTTTTCTAATTTTACAGCCTTCATATTAGGTACTACAAGACCAAAATACTGAATAACTGGCATAATTACACACAAATGAATGTTCATGAGTAGCATGTGAAATTTTCAACAACATTACATTTGCATAAATATGCGGATCCAGCACATTTCTGTGCTTATATTTCATTATAATTATTATTAAAGTACATATAAAAGCAGGTGTCAGATATACTCAAGGTAACAGGTTAAAGACAGAACATGCTATTAGTAGTTTTAAATTGGAGAATATGGATTCTGAATCAAACCGTCTTTTTGTTCATTTGTAAAATAGAGCTTTCCATGAGAGCTTTTAGTACTTTGATTATCGTTTTCAGTATGATTTTGCTTTGAATTAAAAAGAAACAGTAGTTAAAGTATAAAATCATTCATTTTGAAAAGAATTGCACTCTAAATTGTGGCTTTGTGTTAAGGAAAAGATTTTGTTACATGAAAAATTTTATAAAAATACTATAAAAAATAGCCGTACAGTGATATATACTAAATATATTTCTAAATATTTGCCGTGGGTGGATTTTTTATGTTTCTTTAGGCTATCATAATAGTTCATAATGATATATTCATCTTTTAATTACAGCTTCACCTTTTCGATATTTTAGTATTTCTTCAGGTCCTAAATTTGGTAAAATAGCCAATTCCTCAAACACCACTTTAATAAATATAGAGGCCCTACTAAAAAAAAAACAAATATATATTTATTACCTACAAATTTTATTTCCTAAATAATGCTTTATCACATGCATTGGGCAAAAGAGATATTTATCATGTCTAGAACTGATTATTTGTTGGATTAAAATCCATAAAAAAAACTTGAATTTGGCAATTTTCCCGTAAAAAAAGGATGAAAATAGATGGCGCTGCAAAACTCGGCTATCCGATTAAATTTAAGCCAAAAATTTTGCAAGTGAAATTGGCATGGCCTAAGTGTTGTGTGTACCAAATTTCAAGAGATTCCGCAAAATTCACTCCTGGACACTTTTGCATGGTTTTCTGTGAGACAAGCTCTCAAAATGATATTGTCTGCTTCCCTCAGAAACCAAGCATATATCAGTGAAGACTGATCAACTTGGAGTCAGAAAGATGTGTCCAGAGTAGGGTATTCTTGTGACTGTTAAATTCCCTTGTAAGCCAGCTTGTGAAATTTAAACAGATTATTGGACTACTAGTCACTTAGTCTAGTACAAAGCAGGTAATCTTCATACCACATTAATATCAAGGATTATATATATAAGTAAAACTTGTTGATGGATGTCAGGCAAACAAACGATTAATCAATAGACTAGAAATAGAACAACAACCTCACTCAAGTATTTTTGAATTTTTTTTTGACAGACCCCTTAAACCCAACAATATCAACAGAAAATAAAAAAAATCTCAATTTCCATTATTCTCACTCAATTTGAAAATTGATTTTTGACATAAACCCTCTCATTCAACCCAGCATGATAAACTGACAATAAAACAAATCTCATCCTTCCAAATGTTATCAGACACTATAAGCTCGCCTACATACTGATGTGGTTTTCCATAAATGTATTTTAAAACTGAAGCATTCTGCAGTAAAACATATATTTCAAATGTCTATCCTTTCCCTTTTGTACAATAGCTTTCAGTGACTTGCAGCTGCCTGTGTGCTAAACACGAGTAGAAATAATTGTGTAATTGTTTGCATATCATGAGTAGAAAAATCTTCTTTACTTCTACTGCGGTAAGTTAATTTAAATTTGATTAAAATTTGAAAAAAATGAATTGTCAGCATTTGTTTAATATATTTGTGCTGCTATAACAAACATCGGTTTATGTAGTTATCAATATTTTATTGTCATATAATATAGATTTTGACTGTAAATACTTTAGATTTTATTTTTTTCAATTTTCAATTTTTTTTTCTGAAGGCTTTTTTCTTTAGAAACGGATGAATGTTTGCTTACCTGTAGTACTTTTATTTAAGTTTAAATTTTTTTTTTATATTATATTCCCCCCAAGACACGATCACATTCATTCAAAATTTAATGAGTTTAGTACTTTAAAAATGCACTTCTTGGTTTCATTTCCTGTTGTTTTATTTGAGATTTTTATTGGACAGCTTCATCTCATTTAAGGAATGACTGTCAATATTTTTTCTATCTACGAAGAAATAACATCAAAAATGTGGTGCACACTGAATAATCCGAGTAGCGAGTTATTTAACAGTGTGCACCACATTTTTTTTATGTTATTTCGAATAGACAGAATAGACAGAAAAAATATTACAGTCATTCCTTATAATTTAATTTTAAATTCCATTTTTAAGGAGTGAATCACGAAAAAAACGTCAACCTTAGGTATTTATCTACATTTTATCAAAATTTGACCGCATAATTCGCTACGGTTCATGAGATTTAAAGGATCAAAACTACGAGGTCGTTTT